GAAAAGGAGAGCGGCTACTAAGTGTGACGCAGGGCTTTGCAGTTTTCCAGGGGCAGCTCGGGATGGTCCCCTGTGCGGGGTAGATGAGGGCTGAGTCCTGTGCCCCGCCCGAGAGTGGGAATGACTTAATGAAGTCTCTTAGGAGCTTAAATTGGGTTATAATCAGGGATCATGGCCCAGAGGAACAACACTTGCCAAGGTACCCAGAAAAGTTGTGGGTTTGGTCACTGACCTACTGTACAAGTCAAAGAGTTGGAACACATGAAAGATCCCTGGCAGGAAGTGGACAGTGGCCACTCTCTCATCAGTGGGGTAATGGGATGGAAAATTCCTCCAGGAGTGAGCACAGCTGTATGCTTGGTGGTGCTGGTGGGCACAGGGCTGAGCCAGCAAAGGTCCATGTGAGCAAGACATACAAATGGAAACTCAGTGTCCTATTTTTTTTGGATGGATTTGGGTTTTTTTAATTGAGATAAAATTTACATCATTGTCATTTTTAAAAATTGATTTTAGAGAGGAAGGGAGAGGGAGAGAGAGAGAGAAACATCGATGAGAAACATCATCGATTGGCTGCCTCCTGCTTGCCCTGACGGGATCAAGCCCGCAACCCAGGCATGTGCCCTGACAGGGAATCGAACTGGCGACCTTGGTGCATGGGATGCTGCTCAGCCACTGGGCCATGCCAGCCGTGTAGTCACTGCCATTTTTAACAGGCTTACTAGCCAGGGAAGTCAGAGGAATGATACCATAGTAAGGGACATGAATTTCAGCAAAGCCCTGCCTTACAGCAACCTGCAGAAGAAAGTTATAGGTTAGAGGACAGGTACATGGACTTGTTAACATGCAGATAATTATAACCCCGAATTAATTCTTTATAGTTTCTTTCATTTCCATTTGCTTCCCTTGAAAATGTCATTTTTCTTTTTTCCTTCCACATTTTTACTTCCCTTATGTCTGCCTTCCTTCATGTGGCAGCTTGCTTTCTTGCAAGTCTATTTACTGAGCACCTAACTGTGCCAGCACTCTGCTGGGGGCTGAGCGTGCAGTGGCCAGCAGGGCTGCCAGGTCCCTGCCTTCCTGGAGTGCGCTCCCCAGTGCGGGAGGACAGCATCGGTGCAGTGACCCTGCAGACATCTCCACAAGTGAGGCGGAGAGGGGCTCCTGGAGCCTATAGCAACGGTGTCTGTGTTGCTTGCAGGGCGATGTTTCTAGTGGGTACCACAGGTCTGTCTTCTCAGTTTTTAGTCCTGTTGGCATTTGCATTGTCACACTGGGCACAGTAACCAAGTCATTAGACAGAACCAAATGTGGGAGGGACACGCTGGCTGATGGAATTGGTGTCTGAAAAGAGCTTGAGTGATTGGATGCTGGAAATGACTGACATAACTGTACTGCGGTTTGGAAAACCAACTGCATGGATGGATGTCGGCCGGAATTCCTGTGTCAAAAACCCGGGTGTGGAAGGGATTTAGAGCTAACCCAGTAACCCTTGAACCATGCTGCTCAGAACTAAAGCTCAGTGGGCTGCGTGAGCAGGGGCTGGGGTCAGAGGCAGGGAGTGAGCTCCCTGCCATCCTGGGCTCAGGCCCACCATGCCAGCAGCTCCATGGCCATCCTACATGGGGCAGGGGACAGGGGACTCTGACAATTAGAAGCACATCTGGTGAGCCAGCCAGGATCTGGAGGGGCCAGAGACCATGTCTCCTAAAGAACCTAAGGGCAGCCTTGGGGATAGCCATCCACTCTCTGCAGGTGGCTGGTCTGGGACCCCAGGAGCAGCCTTCCCTGTGTGTGGACAGTGACCCTTAACATCTGCAAAGCCTTTCATATTCAGTGCCTTTGACAGGTAGTGAGTTCTGCATTACTGGAGGTATTTCAGGAGTCAAGCTCTGGACTTTTTATTGTTTTAGGGTTTTGTATATACAAGGTGGGGCAAAAGCAGGTTTATCGTTGTTTGTATGGCAATAATACAATGATTAATAATAATACAAGAATGGAGGGGAGGGGAAAGGGGGGACTGGGTGAAAGAAGGCGAAGGGATTAGCCAAAAGACATATATGCATAACCCATAGGCACAGACCACAGTGTGGTGCTGGCCAGAGGGAAGGGCAGGCATCGGGTGGTGGGGAGGAGGTGGGCAAAGGCGCAGGAGATGGGGACATCTGCAGTAGTGTCAACAATAAAAATAAAGTTAAATAAAATAAATAAATACAGGAATGAACTCTGTGTTTCAAATACTTACAACTATAACCTACTTTGCCTCACCTGTATGGTTACATCCGAGTTGTGCAAGATCCCTCGAGAGTCCTTGTTCATTTGGAGGACTGTAGGGAGGAAGCTCTTCGTAAAGCAGAGCTGCTTTTCTGGGCCGTCACCATCTCCGCCTCTCGCTGGGATGCGTCCTCGGTGCACCGCACCACACTGGACATGGGCACATAATCTGCAAGAACCGCAGCCCACTTGGCTGGCTGGACTTGGTTAGCGACCAGGAAAGGAGCAATGTACGCCCTTTCAGTGGCTCTCAGCCCTAGGGTGCAGAGTCACCTGGAGGCCCTGTCACAGGGCTGGGCCCACCCCCTGAGTTTGCTTCAGCAGGTCTGGGGTAGGGCCAACAGTGTGCAGCTCCCAGGTAAGGCTTCTTGTCCAGGGAGCACATGTTGAGCACCCTCTGCTCAGGGGCAGATTCCTGGGACTAATCAGGACCCACAAGAGATGCCCCAGGGCAGAAAATGGGCAAGTTGCTGCCGTTTCAGAACTCCTTTCAGAATTCCTGGGCGTCTGGAAGCTGCTCCAGGGGCAGCTTCTCCTGGCTGAGCAGGGAAGTGGTCAGTTGTTCACCAGTCCTCTTTCCTCTCCTACTGGAGGCTGGGCTGTGGCCACTCCCGTGGGCTTGACAGGAAACGCTGGGGAGAGGGCGTGTCAGAGTGGCTGGCTCTAGGTCCGAGTCCCAGCTCTGCTGTTCCCCCTCTGTGGGACCACCTATAAGCTTTTATTTTCATGTCCATAGTCTCCCATCTCGAGATGTGGGCATCAGGACTACCCTTTTCAAGGGTTGCTGAGGGACAGAATGGGGCACTGTGCCCATGGAACATTAGCACAGCCCCCCAACTTGTTTCCTGGTCAGCAGCAGCCACTTAGATCAAAAGTGCTTGTGAGAGGGATTGACAGGTGGCGGGTTCTGTCGGCTATTATTTCCCAGGGAAGTTGCTGTTCATCCTGGCCTGGCTGAGCGGGTTCTCTCCACAACACGACACCGAGCTCATGAGTGGAAGCATCGGCGATGGTCAGGATAGCAGCAGAGAAGATTCTTACGTATTCTAGACTCAGCTCCCAGACTGTGTGGGACAGCAAGGGCCTTCTCTGGAAACTCCCAGAGGATGCACGGCCCAGGGAGCCCCATCGGGCCCCCAGTGCGAAGCCGAGTGCATATCTGGGTGGGCACGGGGGTCTGCTGATCTCTGCAAGCAGGCCTTTCACAGAGGCTGCACTTAATTTTAGAAAGCAGCAGACAGCAGCCACAAAAAGCAGATTGCCTCTGAAGATTCCTGGGGAGTCAGCTTGTTGCACAGCCATGGAAAATAATATTAAAATTCAAAGTGTTGAAAAAAATTAAGCAAAAAAAATATGATGCGGCTGTTCTGGAAGCAGGGATTGAGGGTGCAGTGAACACCTGGCTCCTGACGACTCCTGTCTTCTTGCTCCCTCCCTCCCCCTGGCTCTCTGGTTTTGGGTGGCCAGAGCTCTCCATGCCCTCAGATCAGTACGAGCTGCAGCTTCAGAACCACATCCAGGGCCACATGGGAGATCCGGGCAGGCCCGTGACTGTCTTGGCTCAGGACACGTCGACGGTCACCGCGGTTCAGCTGGGACAGAGCAACTTGGTCCTCGGCCACAGGAGTATCCTTTCCTCGGGCAGGCATGTCCTGCGCACCCAGGTGTGTGTCCTGTGTGCAGGAGAGCTGTGTTTGGAGGTCCAGTCCTTTTCTCCCTGGATGCTGGGCTAGGCTAAATAAAGTTGTTTTTCCTCAAGGTCTGAAAGTCAGAAAGCCTGCTCACCTCTGTTGGTGACTTACTGGAGAGGCTCCAGGATGGGAGGTAGTGGTGGCCTGGAGCCTCACTCCCGCCCGCAGAACCCCTGGCGCCTGCTGTCTCTTTTGAGGGGTGGCTGAAGCTGTTTCCATGCTGGTGGGTGGGTTGTCCCTTGTCTCATACTTGCTGGTGTGCCCTGTGTGCCTCCAGTGTCCCCTGCAGAGACCCCCCCCCCCC